ATGTGGGCCTGGACTCAGAATCCGACGAAGATGACCCTTCGGGTGTTCGACGCAATAGCTACTCCGCTACGGCACGAATGTTCGAAGATCGCTTCGGGTTGGGTCCGGCAAAAAAAGGCTCGGATCGGAAAGCTTCTTCCTCTGCTCCGGCCTCCCCTCGCTCTAGTCAAACGCAAGGAGGCCGGGGCGAGGAAGAAGTATCCATGAAAGAAGTCGCGGCCCAACTAGTTACGGTAGTAGCGCCGTTGACGGAGTTTGTTCAAGGTCTGCAACGGCAACGCATAGCCGCCGCACAACGGCAACAGGCGGCTATGGTTGTCGGAGCCCGTATGACAAGACCGGCCGTGGCCGGGGCTGTCCCACCCCTATGTTGTTATAACTGTAATCAGCCAGGCCACCTTGTGAAAGATTGTCCGAAACCCCGAACTCAGGGCGGGCCCACCGGACCTTCCCAAATCCCGCTGGCTGCTCCCACCGCTGCAGGACAGGGGAGGGTAGCCACGGTAATGGACACAGGAACGACGGAGATGGTGACCCCGACGGCCATTGAGATAGGACCCGATGAGTATATGGCGGCAGCGTTGTTCGAACCCGGGACCATCGGAGTGATACGTCACGTCCAACGGATTACCGAGGAAAGCGACCTCGGGCCGTGGCGACCAGGATTTGAGGATCTTGCGGTACCTAGTCCTGAATTCAAGGATGGCCATATCGACATATTGGATGCCTTGAAGGCTCTGGATCTTCGGATCCCCGTCCCTATTCCATATCTGCTAACCATTTCCGAAGCGGCTAACGAAAAGTTGATCGAACGGTGCCTCAAAAACAGGTGCCGATTCGAGGAAAGTGGAAAGGGCAAAAAGTCGGTCCTATGGGACCCACCCACTAACGAGGAGTCACAGCCCTCGACCTCAGAGGTGCACGAAGCCAATCAGATAGGGATGATCCAGACCGTAGATTCCGCCTCGGAAAAACCCGAGGTATTTCTCCGGGCCTATCCTATAACCTGGATAAGCGTAGAGTGTGATTGTGAGGTCTGGGGAAACCCCTCGGCCGCCATCCTAGACTCGGGATCATCGGTGGTCGCCATTTCTTGGAGATTGACGAAACAGTTGGGAAGGGAAGGACTGGTTCAGCCCCTCCGGCCGGATGAACTGTATATATCCGCTACGGAAGATAGTATTCATTGTAAAGGGCGAATAACGAACGTGCCTATACGGGTGGGGCGGGTGCATTGTTTGTGTGACGTGATCCTGCTGGATGTACAGGCGTATGAGGTTCTGCTAGGCATTTCGTGGCAGGCGGCGGTCGGAGCGCGAATGCACTTTGACAGCTGTAAGGTGGTGCTCGCATCGGCCCACCCCAAACCCCAAATGATACCGATGAGACTGGCGGTGCGCATGCGCGCCCAGCCGGCGCCTCGCCTCACCATGAAAGCCCATCAAATCAACATGATCCGACGCCTGTCACCAGACGAAAATGAACCCTCGACGGAAACTGACAAAACGGATGTACCCGACCGATATCCGATCCGAGTTTAGGATCGGTGGCGCCATTCTTGGCGGCGAGAACCACTGGAAATAGTTCGGAGTGAGTCCAATTGGTCGCACGCGTTCTCCTCCGTGGTGCAGGGGGAACCCCTGCTGAGGGTGTCCCGAATAGCTGACCTTTCGGAACCCCCTGCGTCCTTGTATCTCAGGACGGACCCCCTACCTGAAAGATTTACCGAGCTGAGGGGGCTGTGCGATTTATCTTTTCGACCTCCACGGCCCCTACTCATGAATGAAAAAGTCACGATACTCCTGAAAGAGGGGGTGTCGTTTCAACCCCGAACGAGGGAGTATCGGTGGGGACCGAGGGAACTGGCGCAGACCTTTTCGGTCGAACCCTCGGCCGAACCCGAACTGGACAGTAACAGTGACATGGAAAGCGAGCCGATGAGTCTGGCGGACAACCAACTTATTGCGATGGTCCTTTCGGCGAAAACCGACAACTCTTTATTTGGGGCCTCGCCCGATGCCAACGCGGCGGTCCCCACGGTTACGACGACGGTCTCCTTTCCTGGGGGAACCGTAGAAGTTCAGTTACCAGCCCGTGTTCCGGACGAATACAAACGCCTCCTCTTGGCGGTTATACGGGCCTATCCTCAGGCCGTCAGCATTCAGGACCACGACTTAGGGCTAACCCCTTTGATACAACACGCGATTGACACCGGGGATCACGCCCCGATACATTGCCGACCGTACCGATATTCCCTTAAAGAAAGGCAGCTGGTGTTGGAAAGCGTACGGGAATTCGAGCGGTTGGGGTGGGTCAAACCGTCGCTGGGACCATGATCTTTTCCCGTGGTCCTCGTGCCAAAACGAAATGGCTCGGTTCGGGTATGTATCGACTACCGGAAATGGAACGCCATCACTACGAAAGATGTGTATCCCTTGCCGCGAATCGATGATTTGTTAGATGCTATCGGGGCCGCTCGAGTCTTTTCCAAGTTCGATATCCGACACGGTTTTCACCACGTCGCAGTCCGACCGGAGGACCGACCCAAAACCACCTTTGTCCTGTTGGAGGGCACGTGGCAATGGGTCCGGTGTCCCATGGGAATTTGTAACGCCCCTGCAATCCATTTCGCAGTCAAGTACACGGAAAAAGCCATCGAAAAGAATGGATGGTACTGGTCGGGAATTCGGGAAGATGTGAAATACATCGTTCAGAATTGCCCGGCCTGCGCGGCGTACAAGGCGCCGGTACCGATGCCTCGGACGATGGTGCCCACTCGTGTAGAGCGCCCCTTTCAGAGGGTTAGCATCGATACGACGGATATCAACGTTCCGAGAGGGCCCGTCGATCAGGGAGAACTGAATGTTCTTTTAGTGGTCGTCGATCATTTTTCAGAATGGATCGAGGCGTACCCTATGACCAGTCGGACTTCGCAGGAAGTAGCCTGGTACGTAAATCGATTTTTGTGCATGCATCTAGACGTAGAAGAGGTACACATGGACAATGGGTCGGAATTTCAAGGCGAAGTAGAACATCACCTAGTCAGGGCGGACGTTAAGATTATATACTCGTCGGGGCATTGGCCTCAAGCCAATGGCCTGAAAGAGAATGCCAACCGACTGATTAAGACGGCCCTTAGACGGAATATCACTGCGGGAGACACCCGACCCTGGCCGGTCATTGTCGATCACATTTTGGCCGTTTATCGAGCTACCCCACACGGTAGTACTGGGGTGTCCCCCTTTCAACTGAGAACCAATAGGGTCCCTCGGGTGCAATTATCCCCCTTAGTAGGTACGGAAGTTAGAGCAACACGGGCCCAGAATCGAGACAAGACCCGCCACTACATGGACTTAATGGCTAGGGCCTATCCCCCGTTAGCTCGCCGTCGACAGCAAGCCGTAGATTGGACACATCAACGGCAGATCGGTGACTACGAGAATCGACACGCGTCGGCAGGACCACTGCCCCGCTATAAAGTTGGGGACTTGGTGCAGGAACGGAAATCTGCGCGTTCCTCCAAGATCCACCCGCGCTACACAGGCATTTACGAGGTCACGGAAGTTGGCGCACAGGGACAGCACTCTGTGAAGCTGATTCCCTGTCACAACTCCCAGGCCCAACCGCTGACATGGCACGCTGCCCCGCTCCGGCCCTTCCAGCCATCGCTAGGTCCCCTACAGACCCCCGCTCCTGCGAGATCACCATCTCCTTCTTCATCCTCCTCCTCTTCCCAATCTGCCTCGTCCATTGGTGCTGAGAGTTTCAGCGAGCAGGATGAACCATCGCCAGCCGGAGCATGAGCCCCTCGAGCACTTCCAGACGCTGCTTGCAGATCGCTTGTAGAGGCATCGATTTAATGAGGAGAGGCAGTTGCGGTACGACATCCAACAGGTGAACGTGCCAGCGCCCGGGGTTGCTGATTTGGCAGCGTACTCGTTGCTCTGCGATCGGCAAACATATGCGGGAGTGTACATGGACGTGACGCAGTTGCCTGGCCGGGAGACGACCCGAGTATTCATTGAGTTTCGTGCGCTTCAGGTGGCACCCAACTTCGTGCACAGCGTCGCCACCTTCATCGCAGACTTGACGGTCCTACCGCAGCAGAATCGGGAGCCGGTGCGCAGCTTTGTGCGTGAATACGCGGTGGAAGCGGCCAGATCAGTGGCCAGAGTGCAAGGACGGGGGGGACACTGATTCACAGCCCACGAAGTGCTGCTAAGTAGGGCAGAGGACGGACCGATTGCGTTGGTGCCGCAGCTCCCCGCGCTTCTCCCTCCCGCTGCTCCTCTCAACCCCCAAGCTATTCCCCCTGTCCCGTATTAAATGCCTCCTTTCTTCTCCTACACCACCCTCCCCTACCAGCTCATGGAGGGCCCTTACCCCATGCGCGAGTTCTCAGAGTATTTGGTGGAGCTAACTGACGTGGAGCCGCTGCCCTTCGCCGACGAAGACGCGTGGGAGTTGCACCGTGCGCTGTACAAGTCGGTGGCGCTAGGGATGTTCCGGTTCTTCGTGGATCACGAAGACCATGCTATCGGGGAGCACTTTGTCGTTTACTACGTCATCTCACGGCCCAAGCCAGCGGAGAAGGAAGGGACGGTGGCGCTGTACCCCTTCGCCCAGCTCCAGACGATCGATCCGGGATTGTTGGAGCTCATACACCTCGAGCTCCTCTCCATTGTGCAAGTGATCGCGAGCGAGGAGGAGGAGATCCAACCACAATTGCGGACAACGACGACCCCGCGGAGGACGTACAACGTGGTCGTCATCCCAGATTTCATTGCGCAGCGGGCGGAGAGGTTGGAGGACTTCCCGGAGGAAAGGCCGTTGCGGCCTCCCTCGTCGTATCCTCGACCAGCGCCACCAAAGGCCCCTAAGAAGACGCCGAAGAGGAAGAGACGCCACCCATCGCCAGGAGCGCAAGGCAGCAGGATCGGCGGCGGCGAGGAGGTGATTCAGCCTGCGCGACTGCGGATTCCTGACCCTGTGCCTGGGAGTGCGGCGACGCTCGTTAAGGAGACTATCGTGCCATCGCCACCCATTCCGCGTATGCCCGATCTCAATCTTGATGGAGCCGGGCCATCATCATCAGCAGCAGCCGGAGGAGGAAGGCGAATGGGATTTCCGGATCCCATATCCAGACCCCCCGTCCTCACGGGACCTCTCCGTTCCCGCCAGCCACCCCGGGGTGCCCCGGTCATTGACATTAGTAGTTCATCCGAGCCGGACGGTCCATCCGACCGAGGTGGACTTCATGGTGGAGCCCGCCACCATCAGGCTCGAGGCCATCGCGGGGGCGCCGCGCCCTGATCCGGCAGGGGAGCCATATCTGACACCCCCTTTCCAAGGATGTATTGCGGTGCGATTGGCTGGGACGCTTATCTACGAGACCGGAGCGTCCAAATGCGATGTACCACTTCCTGGTCTTCGCGGCGCAGAAGCGGGAGCGGCGGCCTTACACCGAGACTCATGTGGTGATGACGGGTCGAGCGCCCCGATCAGTGCGCAAGCGGGTGGTGCGAGCGGTAGCGGATCTGGCGCCACGTGTCCTCTCACATGAGCCGGGGGCTTTCCTTTACCCCTCATTCGTCCAGCATCACTTCCATGAGGAAGATGCGTCGACGACTCCTGCGGCAATGGCCGCTTTTCTTCCACCTATTCCGCCCCCTCTCAACCCCGACATAGATCACTTCCTCTGATCACCCTCGTCTACCTCTCCCCTGTCCTCTCCTTCTCCTTCTCCTCTTTTTCTTCTTCTTTTCCGGATCTAAAGCTTGCGCGACGATACGCGCTGTATAGATATATATATATAAAAAATATATATATATATATATTTTTACTTACCGATCGGGCCAGCTGACGATGAAGGGGCCGCCCGATCGAATGTATACTATGGGAGGAGACGATGGAGGATGCAGGATGCATCCACGTAGATTAGGAAGATGATCGAATGTATACTATGGAAGGAGACGATGGACGATGAAGAGGCCGCCCGATCATCCATGATATGATAGAATCAGCAGTCGGGAGACTACTAATTTTTCGGAACCTCCTGCGTATCACAGATGTGATAAGCTCAGATCCGTACCGCGTGGCTTGCCGTATCCCTGAGGAAAAATCCCGCGGAAGCCCCGAAGTACGGACGCGAATAGAAAGGGGTTTTTCTTTTGTTTTCTTCTTGAAACGACTTTTTCATTTTGTTTGGTTAATAACTCCCGCGGGCGAATAGCGGCCGCGGTATGAAAACCAAGAAACGGGTGCGATTGGGACTTTTTGAATTTTTGCGCGCGCGCCCAAGCTCCGATTTCTTTGCGCGTCTCGCATCCCCGTTTCTTGCTTTGCATCCTCGCGCCATCTTCCCTTCTTGCCGTGCGCGTTTTCCCCATGCAGGACTCTTCGTCTTCCCCTACGCCCAGCTTGATCCTTACCCCGTCTTCCTCCGCGAAGTGATTGGCTGCGTCGTTGGGATGCTCGGATCAATGTGGAAAGCGGGAAACCGCGCACCACTTGGACGAACACCCCAATCATGTAGCCATGCAATCCCGCGGGTCGAACCCTCTAACTCCCCACCTCTCTCTCCTGTCCTGCTCATCTACACCTTGCGCTGCCCGCACCTCGCGCTGTTAACCCGCCGCCTCCCGCGCTATGAATTTGCGCAACCCTCTCCTCTCCCTCTCTTTGATCTCGGCTGCAATGCTGCGCGAGCTATGCGTGAGAGTCCGCGGCGCCGAACAGGCTCGACGAGCCCAAGGACGGGCGGAGTGATGACGTGGGGTGGGCCCCGCGGTAGTTTCGGGGCTAAGCAGTCGGAGGGACTGAGCAGTGGTGGGGATTGGACGCCGGCCGCGGCAGGGCCTTGTGGCTATGGTGGTCGGTGGTCTTGGGAAGTTTTGAGGGCAAAACCTGGGGGCCGCAGCTAATTGAATTTTTTGTGTACAAGAAGGACTCGCTTTTATCTCCATTGATGCTTTGTCCATGCATGTCGTGTGTGTGAAGCCCCGAGTGATGGGAGTTGGTTATGCGCACGAGTGATGTCGAAGGTTCATGGATGATTAGATGTCCTGTCAAGAGTTGTTGATTGCATGCATGCATGTGTGTATGTACTCATCGGGGCGGGGATGGGGAAGCTGAACTGGGGGACCGTCT